TCTTAGAGCACTAGTTAGTTGGGATTCAGGAATCTATATTTTAACAACTCCACCAGGTGATTCTCATCATGAGAGAAGTTTGGGAAACACTGACTTAAGGAGTAGCATCCAACTCTTCAGCTTAGCATGCTGGGCCCTTGACAAAGCGGCTGCAGGTGCCTCTACTTTCAGATAAACTTTCCAGGTTCCTCGACCTTCCTCATGATGCTGCCGGTCCGGCCCCAGCAGAGGACGCTTTCCTGAACAGATCCCACACTTCTTCACGCCGGGGGCATTTCACATGATGGGACTCAGTAAAAAGATACACTATATGCCAAGCCATGCGCTGAAGGCCTCAGGGTATCACCTCAATTCTCACAGACACCATGAGCTTGCACTACCATCCCCTCGAATGGACACACAAAACCACCGAGGCCCAGAGAAGTAGCACATATTGCTACAATGTCAGAGTTGTAGCCGGGAACCGCACTCGGGTCCACAGTATCCGTGTGTGTCTCCACCACATGGACCACTGGGCCAGCACAGAAGGGGCTCCAGGAGAGCCGGGCAGGGTTCCTGCTCTAGCACAGCCACTTCCGGTGTCGGTTTCCTCCCAGGTAAAGTCAGGATAAGAATTGCCTCAAGGGACGGTTTTGAGGAAGAGGAGGAAATGCTGGGTAAGTAGCTGGCATTCGCTTCGACAGCACCCCAAGTCCTAGAAGCCCTGCGAGGCTCAGTGGGCCGCCTTCGTGCTGTTCAGACGCAGGCTGCACAGTCCCGCCTCCGGCCCTTCGCACTTGCTGTCCCTGCTCCCGGGCCGCGTCCCCCTCTGTGCACAGGCTCCTCTCCCGCTTCATTGAGCTCTAAGCTCAACCCTCATCCCCGGAGGTCCCTCCCCACCCCAGGCTGCCCTATCAAACGGCCATGTAACCACGGCCACTCCACGAACCCTCTCTATCCCGCTCTCTGGCTTCACCTACGTACATCTTTCTCTCGGTTCGGCTGCCTTTCCTAGAAAGGAAGCCCCACGAAGGCAGAGAAGGTCCATCACGCTCAACCCCTCCATCCCAAGCGCCTAGAAGAGAGCCTCGTCCGCGCCCCAAAAGTGCAGGTGCTCCATAAACATTTGCTAAGGGAATTGGGTGTTTTGCTAAGAACGCACCCCGGGGCCTTTCCCTCCGGCTTCCACCCGCCCTACAATTGTCAGCCTTCAAATGCCCCGCTCGGAGCGGCCTTCCACGGCCCCGCTCGGCGGCACCGAAGCCCTCCCTTCCGCAGGGCGAACATCCCGCCGGCTGAGCGGCTCAAAACCCCTCATCCCAGGTGCTGAAGGAGGCTCCCGGCCGGTCAGCAGAGCCCCAGAGCCGGGCGGCCGGGCCCGCCTCGCCCCGCCGTCCTCCTGGTCCTCCTGGGGGACCCTTCGCGCCGAGCCGCGGCCCCAGCTCCCCGAGCCCGGCCCGCAGGTCGGCACGACCCGCGGGCACCCGGGCACCGCCGCCCGGAGCCTCCATCCCCCAAGGAGATCGGGCCGGCCGCTCGGACCCCGTCACATCACGACCACCATCCAAAAGCCTTAGTCACTCACCATCTTGCCTCGGCCGCAGAAGCTGCCGCCGCCGCCGCTGCCGGAAGTGCACTCGCATGGCTGGCGTCAGAAACGGAAGTTGCCCGGGGCGCTACGGAGGCCCGCAGGAGCCAAACCTCGCGGGATGCAGTCGCGCGCCGAGGCTTAGCGCGGGAGGGTTGGGGCCGCGGTATCTTATAACGCGTGAACCTTATAGTTTACTTGGGGAAAAAAAAGTCTGAATCGCAGTTTAAAGGCTGTCTCAACCACTGGAAAGAATAGCCTCGACTGTCAGAGAACCAAGATTAATTGGGAGACTATAAATTATTTCAAACGTGCAAAAACCATAAGCGGGAAGAACTTTTCCTTTACTGCTCCAAGAACTGGACGGGCATCCGGAACTGCGAGGTTGACGTATGCTTTTGCATCAACATTTAAGTTATTGTTTGGCCTCTGGCATTAACCCGAATCACCTGAGAATATGTTTTTGTCTGGTGAATAACCTAAATCTTTTTTTTTTTTTTTTCCTTTCGGATGATTTGTGTCTTGCGATGACGCCAATAAAGTCCTCATCTTGCACCTCGTTGGTTAGGTTCGCATTCCCACCAGGACATCGGGAAGACGGCCAGCATCCCTTTGGCTGTCCGTGGGTCTCCTCTGCTTGGTGATCCAGGAGGAATGAATGAATGAATTGTGGCCAGTTTTCCTGGTGGCCGGTGGGCACGTGCAGTACACGCACTCACCAGCAGAGGGAGCCACAGCCAAATACTGCGCCGTGGTCCTATTTAAGTTCCTGTGGAGCTGGTCCCTGCCTGCTCCTCGCTCCCAAATGGCTTTGACACTCTTTGCTCATCCACCTCCTGGACCAATGCTTCTCTCATAGATGTTTCTAACTCTCTCTCCCTCTCCCTTCCTCTGTAAAAACTCATTAAAATATTTAAAAAACAAAACAAAAAAAAAACTAAACATCATTACCCAGGGGTGTCAGCCCTACCCAGCCAGCACCAGCAGTGGGATTAGAAGCTATTTTCAGCCGAAACCAGTTTGGCTCAGTGGTAGAGCGTCGGTCTGAGGACTGAAAGGTCCCAGGTTCGATTCCGATCAAAGGCATGTACATTGGTTGCGGGCACATCCCCGGTAGGGGGTGTGCAGGAGGCAGCTGGTCGATGTTTCTCTCTCATTGACGTTTCTAGCTCTCTATCTCTCTCTTTTCCTCTCTGTAAAAAATCAATAAAATAAAAATTTTTTAAAAGGAGCTGCTTTCAGACAGCTGAGCAGGTGGAGGTGGGCAGATCCGCCCAACCAGAGGAGCCCTCCCGGTTCCCTGTCCTCCAGCTCTGTGAGAGTGCATTTCTCAGAGTGTGTGGCCATTGCTCCAGCAGCTTCAGGAAACTGATACACAGTAAGCTGCCCAAGGCTGCACAGCTGAGAAGCAGAACTCCTGAGATTCCAAAGCAGATTCCGACCCCAGAGCCATTCCTCTTCTATTGAATGAGTCAGTTGTGTGAATTAGTGCCTGGAACACGGAGAGAGCGGAAAAAGGTGCTATTGTTGTTACTGTTGTTATTAATTATACATTCTCCTAGGCTCTCTCCCTCCTCTGCACCCTTCGATCAGGAAGATAATGAGTACCTTGTGCAATCTCAAGACCCAGACAGCTGTGAAGTATATTATCATTAACATGATCAGAGACAATGATGTGAAGAAAAGCTACAGCTAATATTTCCCCACAGCCCATGGAGGGGGTTAGTCAAAGCCACACCCGTTCATCCCGATGAGAGGGCGGTGGGAGGTCCAGGGCTCTGCTGTCTTCTGCGGGGACCTTGACATGGTCCTGCTGCTTCCTGGTGTCACCAGAGGCCGCCAGGTACCGGGCAAGAGGGAGGGAAGAACGGGCGGCCAAGTCATCTCTTCCACGTGACTTGGCAGCTCCCTCGCCCCTGCCCTGGCCTTTGGGTTGACCATGTGACTCACACTGGCCAATAGAATGGGATGGAGTGATGGTATGCTTAATCTCACCGATTTCTACCGATTTCTACCTGCCCTCCGGGCCTCTGCCATCAGCGGGAGAAGCTTGTTTCAGGGTAGCTTGCTGATCCCAGGGGGAGGAGGAGAGACTGTGAGGGCAGAGCCACCTCCAGTGAGCCCAGCCCACATCAGCCAACCCCCATGGCTGCAGACAGCAGACACCAGAAATCAAAGCTCACTGTGGTTTGCCACTGAAGTTCTCATGTTGTTTGCTGTGTAGTATTATTGTGGCCAAAGCGAACAGCTACACCCAAAACCCAAGAACTTCCATATATTCCTAGAGTCACCCGGATCTATGACACACAGTGGGGCTCAAATAGTGAGGGAGTCCCTGGAGCCTCCACGGGGGTTTGGGGGTTGAGAATATGGCCACGTAAATAGCATCTAATAACCAGATGACCTGGGAAGCCTCCTTAAATCTCTGTCTCAGATTTTCACCTGTAAAATGAGAATAAAAATGTTTTCCCCACGACTGCTTTGAGTAGTAAAGGAAAGCGGTTGAGAATCGCATCTGGAACATAGTAGGTGTCACGAAGTACTGGCTCCTTACTGGCAAATGGAGTGTTCGGAGGCCTCACGCTGGTTAAATTTCAGTATCGGGTCCCTCCTCTGACGCGGGCGCTCACCCCATTTTAAACTGAGGACACTGAAGCACTGAGGGTCCTGTAAGTGGCCCGGGCGCCACAGCAGGGAGGGGCAGAACCAGGACTTGAACACGGGTCCCTTCACATTCAGAAAAGGGTGACAAGGAATGGTCAGAGTTGGAGCAGATGGAGCGGTCACACCCCCACCTCCACCTCCCTTACCCATCATCCCTCCTGGGGGCCCAGGCCAGGCCCGCCTCAGCACTCTGTGGTGGGTTCCAGGCTCCTGAGGGCCAGTAGCTGGGAGCTGACCAGGGTCCCCTGGAAGGTCCAGCTGACCCTGCCCTGTGTCAGGGAGCGGTCAAAGGACCAGGTAATTAAGAGAAGGGGAGAAGTGAGGGATCGCGGGGGTTAAGCTGAGTAAGAAAATGGAGCGTCCAAGGGTAGAAAGGGTGTACCTTCAAATCCGTCTCTTCCTCTCCCTCCCCGGCCCCCAAAATTGCTCAGTGAGAGGCAACCGCCTGACTGGACCCAAAGGGGCCGGGGGATCGGCCTGGCGATGAGCTGTGACCACGGCTCACAGCATGAAACTCATCAAGCAGCTTAGTCATCACAATAGTCATGTCAGCACCCACACCCCTGGCCCGTTTATCAAATCTCCTACTCACGGGGCAACTGAGGCTTCTCGTTAAGGGTCTGCTTTGCACAGGGAACGGATGGAGGAGGTGTCTGACATTTCCTTTGCAGGCCTGGGGGAGGGCAGTCTCTGTGGCTGAAGGACAGCTGTGGCCACACTTCCAGCGCAGAGAATGGGCACCTGAAACTCTCCACAGGAAGCCGTCTGTCTACTCCACGCCAGGGGTTCCATTCCAGGGTTCCACACGGGGGTTCCACACCGGGGCTCCACACCGGGGTTCCACACCGGGGGTTCCACACCGGGGTTTCCACACGGGGGGTTCCACACCGGGGGTTCCACACAGGGGCTCCACACCGGGGTTCCACACGGGGGGTCCACACTGGGGTTCCACACTGGGGTTCCACACCAGGGTTCCACACCGGGGGTTCCACACGGGGGTTTCACACCGGGGTTCCACACCGGGGGTTCCACACCGGGGTTCCACACCGGGGGTTCCACACGGGGGCTCCACACTGGGGTTCCACACCGGGGGTTCCACACCGGGGTTCCACACTGGGGTTCCACACCGGGGCACCACACCGGGGTTTCCACACGGGGGGTTCCACACCGGGGGTTCCACACGGGGGTTCCACACCAGGGTTCCACACCGGGGGTTCCACACGGGGGTTTCACACCGGGGCACCACACCGGGGGTTCCACACCGGGGTTCCACACCGGGGGTTCCACACCGGGATTTCCACACGGGGGGTTCCACACCGGGGGTTCCACACCGGGGTTCCACACCGGGGTTCCACACCGAGGCACCACACCGGGGTTCCACACCGGGGTTCCACACGGGGGGCTCCACATCGGGGGCTCCACACGGGGGGTTCCACACCGGGGTTCCACACGGGGGCTCCACACCGGGGGTTCCACACCGGGGGTTCCACACCGGGGCACCACACCGGGGCACCACACCGGGGTTCCACACCTGGGTTCCACCCGGGGGCTCCACACCGGGGCTCCACACCGGGGCACCACACCGGGGTTCCACACGGGGGTTGCACACCAGGGTTCCACACCGGGGGTTCCACACGGGGGCTCCACACCGGGGTTCCACATGGGGGCTCCACACCGGGGTTCCACACCGGGGGCTCCACACTGGGGTTCCACACCGGGGGTTCCAAACCGGGGGTTCCACACCAGGGCTCCACACCGGGGGTCCACACCGGGGTTCCACACCAGGGCCCCGCACCAGGGTTCCACACCGGGGCACCACACCGGGGCTCCACACGGGGGGCTCCACACCGGGGGCTCCACACCGGGGGTTCCACACCAGGGGCTCCACACCAGGGTTCCACACTGGGGGCTTCACACCAGGGTTCCACACCGGGGTTCCACACTGGGGGCTTCACACCAGGGCACCACACCGGGGCACCACACCGGGGGTCCACACGGGGGTTCCACACTGGGGGTCCACACCGGGGTTCCACACTGGGGTTCCACACCGGGGGTTTCAAACCGGGGGTTCCACACTGCGTCAGGATTCCAGCCTCCAGCCCCATCACTAATCTGAGAAAAAGTAGAAGAAAGAAGAAATGTTTTGGATCAAAACCAGAGAGTTGTAACTGGATATTCCCGCACCCAGTAACTCCACGTACTAGAAAGTTCTTTGACTTTAAAATATATACTGGTATCCTTACCAGCAATCATTTTGAAGAATTCTCCTTGGTGAAGCCAATTAGACATGTTACATTCAGTAACAGGCCTCTTCTCCTTGAAGGTGGATAATTCAAAAGGGCCTGGACAGCGTGGCTCCGTGGTTGAGCATCCACCTATGAACCAGGAGGTCACGGTTCGATTCCTGGTCAGGGCACATGACCAGGTTGCGGGCTTGATTCCCAGTTGGGGGTGTGCAGGAGGCAGCTAATCAGTGATTCTCTCTCTTCATTGATGTTCCCATCTCCCTCTACCTTTCCCTCTTCCCGCTCTGAAATCAATAAAAAATATATTTTTTTATTTTTTATTTTTTTAAACGTATATTTTATTGATTTTTTACAGAGAGGAAGAGAGAGGGATAGAGAGTTAGAAACATTGAGGAGAGAGAATCATTGATCATCTGCCTCCTGCACATATCCTACTGGGGATGTGCCCGCAACCAAGGTACATGCCCTTGACCGGAATGGAACCCGGCACTTTCAGTCCCCAGGCTGATGTTCTAGCCACTGAGCCAAACCAGTTTCGGCAATAAAAAATTTTTTTTTTTTTTTTTAAAAAGGGAAGGATGGTTCTTCATAAACGGTGAGAAGACCGTTTATGTTCTCCAGAATAATCCAGGAGGGAATGAGAAAGTGAGTGGGAACGTGCATTAGTCAGGGTGCTCTAGAGAAACAGCCAATAGGAGATGGATGGACAGACAGACAGGTTCTGATTGAGAAGGTCTAGGAAAAGCCTGAAAATATGCATAAAAAAACGCCCCTCGGTGCCTCTCGGGGTTTGAGGATGTTGGGTGCGCAGGGCCTCTGGCAGGTGATTCTGCGTTGACTCAAATTCCAAGGCCGCTGCCCGGAAGACTGAACATTCAATCAGCCAACAGCCAACAGCCTACGGTGACAGAGATCTTCTCCCCAAGGACCATCACGAGGTGACAATTCTTAAGAAGTTCCTTCCACATAGCACAGCACCACCTCGGCCTACATCCAGGACGCCGACTCATCACCCTCGCCTACTGCCTCCTGAGAGCAGTGTCCACGGTAGATGTCTTGGCGTCCGGGCAAGTCAAGTTCATCAGCAATGGCTCCGAGATGCAGACGGGAGAGTCAGTCTGGGAGGCCCTGGGGTCTGGTCACAGCGGCAGAACATGGCGGGGACACGAGCTGGGCTCCGGGGGAGGGCCTCTGTCCTGTCCGTCCCAGCTCACACTCAGGACAACATTCTTTCCTGGAAAATATCACCCGGAGGACGCCTTAAAATGCAGATCGCTAGGCCCTGCCCTTCGTGCCTCTGATTCCTCCCGTTGGGTTGGAGCGTGGAGAATCTGCACTTCCCACGAGTTCCAGGGGCTGCTGCCGGGCTGGGACCACACTCTCGGGGCGACTGCTGGAGGCCACTGGCCACGACTCAGGAGGATGTGAAATCTGAATTGGAGTCCCACGCGTGTGCTCAGGTCTCGGAGCCATGGCTGATGAACTTGACTTGCCCGGACGCCAAGACCTCCACCGTGGACGCTGCTCTCAGGAGGCATTAGATGAGGGTGATGAGTTGGCGTCCTGGATGTAAGCAGAGGCGGAAGGTGTGACTGACTGTGTGCAATCCTGAGAGTTTTGAATTTTTTTTTTTTAACGTTTTTCTTTGAGAGAATGTTGGATGTCTGGTCCCACTGCAAAAGTAGCACAGAGCTTTTCCATACACTGTCAACCCAACCTCCCCTGATGTTAACACCTTACATACCCACAGAGCAGCCATCAACACCAAGAAGGTAACCTCAGTGAAGACGATGCCCACCTAGACCACAAGTTGTGGGCTTCCACCCCAGCGTTCCCACTAACGTTCTTCCCGTAAGTCAAGATCCACCCAGTCCCGGCTCCCATGTTGAATTTCCCTGTCCTTGGTCTCTTCCCCGCTGGGACAGCACGCCCGTCTTCCTGTGTCTCGTTAGCTTGATAGCTTTGCCTGATAGCATGCCCCACTTGGTCTATGGTTTTCTCTTTATTAGACTAAGGCTGCGGTCAGCAAACTCATCCATCCACAGAGCCAAATATCAACAGTACAATGATTGAACTTTCTTTGGAGAGCCACATTTTTTTAAAACTGAACCTTCTTCTAAAGCCGCTTCTTCAAAATAGACTCGCCCAGGCCGTGGTATTTTGTGGAAGAGCCACACTCAAGGGGCCAGATGGCCGCATGTGGCTGGCGAGCCGCAGTTTGCCGACCAGGGGACTGAGGTGTGTGCTCCTGGGAAGGATGCCACAGAGGTGGTGTGCCCTGCTCAGGGCACCGTGTCAGGTGATGTGTGACGTGGGCCTGTGAGACTGGTGATGTTAACACTCTTGGTTCCTGTGGTGTCTGCCAGAGTTCGACATGAACTCTGTTTTCCCTTTGTAATTACTAGATGTTTTGGTGGCGACCCATTGAGGTTACATGTGTCCTGACTCGGCTTTAAATGTGCGCATCACTCATTTCAGCGCCCGCCAGCGGATCGCTCTGACTGCACCTGTCACCTTGATGTTCTGATGGGAGCTATTTCCCTCGTTCCTCCTGTGCTTATCCCTGGGAATGCTTCTGCGTGGAAGAGGTGCTTCTCCTGGGGCTGAAGACCTCTGATGGTGGAGCTGCAGAGCTCCGGGCTGCTACTCAACACACTTCTGCTGCCGGGCCCGCCTGACCTTGTGGAGGAAATGTCTGGGGTTGCCGGCTGGCAGAAAAGGCAAGTCAGCCTGAAGAGGGAGCGGCTGCAGGAGGCTCCGCGGCTGCATGGAGCCTGGACGAAGAGCCCGGCTTCCCCGCACGGAAGCCTGGGCTCCCCTCGCTGTAGCCTAGGGGTGTCGAACTCAATCAGAGAAGGGGCCAAAATCTAAAATCCAGCCTAAATCCCGGGCCGAATGGTTTACTGAACAGTCATAAACTGTCATTGTGATGGAAACGCAGCGGAGTGCAGTGATGACAGCGCGGTGCGGGCCACATTGCAAGGCCTGGAGGGACGGATTTGGCCCGCGGGCCTTGTGTTTGACACATGTGCAGTGTAGCCCATCGGCCCTGAGCGCTCAGACATGGAGCAACCCCTTCGTGCCCGTTTCCCTGTGTGAGAAACAAGGTGGTTGGATGTGATGGTCCCTGACGGTCCTCCCAGCTCTGATGGTTTCTGCTCAACACTTCAGTTTCATCAGTTTCAGTTTCCCCCTCTATCTTCTTCATTTTTTTTTTTAATCCTTATCTGTGAATATGTTCCCATTGCTTTTAGATAGAGTGGAAAGAGGAAGGGGGGTGGTGAGTGAGAAGGAGAGAGACATTCTGATGTGAGACAAACCAATTGGTTGCCTCTTGCATGCATCCTGACTGGGGCTGGGGATGGAGCGTGCAACTGAGGTACAATGTGCCCTTGACTGGGAATGGAACCTGAGACCATGCAGTGTGCAGGCCGGCACTCTAACCACTGAGCAAACCAGCCAGGGCCCCTTTATCTTCTTTATTGCACCGGCTCTTTCCTCATCACGTCTGGAAGAACTGCGTGTGCCCCATTCTTATCACATAAAAACAATAGCTGTCTCTTCTCCGCTGTGCTCCCATCCCTACGACGTCCCCCCCTGCCCCCGTGAAGATGGATAGCCCTTGTTCCTCGCGCGGACACGTTAACTGCTTGGGAGGTTGTGCAACTGGGCTCGTTACAATCCCAGAAGGCAGAGCTGAGGCAGATGCCACAAGGAAAGCTACATTTCATTTTCTGGCCCAGAATGTTTCTCCAGCCACGAATCCAAGATGAGGCTCCTGTCCCCAAAGAGTCATTCCCTGCTTCCTGTTCCTCTGTGTGCAAGCAAGGCCTGTTTCTGTAGACAACCCCTTCGCCTCCCCCCTGCCCATCCCCAGTGAGCAGCCATGGACTCTTAGTTAATAAAATGAGGGTTTATTGAGTTTCCAGTTCTAACAACTAGTCAGTCATAATCTCTGCCCCCAGGCCTGGTAAGAACAAGGGGTCCCTGTGACCACAGACAGCGAGAATGTCCAACCGCATTCTTTAGTCTCAAAGGCGAGGCCCCCCAACCTCTTCGCTGCTGAATTTCATGTTCTTAACACACGGACATCCTAAAAGGGCAGAGCAAGGCTATAAAGCAGAACTTCCTTTTTGTTGAAGAGCTAGCCCTATGTGCACTTAGTGGTTATCTTGATGCTGGCCTTGTGCTCCATCCTTGATCAATCAGGAGGTAGCAGGGTATGGCTCAGACCCAGGAATCCGTTAGTCATTTCCTGCCCTTTGCTCCGTAAGAACCTGCTGTAAGTCCCTGCTGAAAAACCCTGGAATAAAACCCTGACCTGGTACTGGCCAATCCGGGTCAGCCAACTCAGGGGTCCAATCCTCCCCATGCCCCAGACCCCTATAAAACCTTTGTTCTGTTGAAGCTCACTCTCTCTCCCCACCTTGCCGCTGCACTGCTGTGTGTGTGTGTGTGTGTGTGTGTGTGTGTGTGTGTGTGTGTGTGTGACTGAGCTTGGGCTAGCTCAAATAAAGGCTCTTTGCTTTTGCATCAGACTTGGCTCCCTGGTGGTCTTTGGGGATCATGAAATCTGGGCATAACAGTTCCAATGATACTTTGGCCAAGCATTAAGATCTTAAAAAAAGGAAAAGAAAATGCAAAAAAGCAGAGACCTAGGTAAAGACTAAACCAGATGGTTGCCTTGACCGTGGCACCACAGAGGGTTTAACCTGCGCCGAAGGCAGCCGGAGCCCAGACCGGCCTCGCCCTTCCTCTGCTGGAGTGAACGCGGCCATGCAGGGCTCCATTTCCAAAGGAAGAGGAGAGCAGCAGCAAACCAAGGCTTACTCTCCCCCTTCCCCTCCAGCAAGTAGTGAAAAACCTGGAGCAGGAGGAGCAAAGAAACAGCTCTGGGTCTTGGGCTGCTCTGCGATTTGTGTTTGAAAGACTGAATTTAAACGAAAAGAATACAGATCAGGAGGAAGGCATCGAGGCTTCAGCTGTTTGTTGGAGCCCAAACGAGGAGATCTCTCCAGCTGGGCTTCAGGAAGCCCAGCCCCGGGCAGAGCCAGCTCCGTGACGCTCCTCCCCCCGCCGCCCTCCCCTCGGCCTCCTTGGCCCTACCTGTCCCCGCTGGTCTCCGCCAGCCTGTTGTTCATGATGGCGAAGGCCCCCACGCCCCCGGAGAACTCGCTGTCCCGGGGCTGCATGCCCGCCTGGGGGCAGCAGCCGTTGGCCGTCTCGGACAGCTGCTTCTGCAGGACGGCCAGCGACACCTTGTTGGCGGCCAGGAAGTCCTTCATGGAGACCACCTCCTCCGAGGGCCGCCGCCCGCCCGCCTCGCCCTCCGTGCCCCCGCCGCCCGAGGAGCGGACGTGGCCCGGGGTGACCGCGTTCCTGCGGGCCCGTGGGAGGCCGCCCCGGCACCGCCCGCAGCACCCGCCGTCCAGCTTCCGCAGGATCCAGTTCACCGACTGCTTGATGAGGATGGAGATGACGTTGAAGAGCGAGTAGATGCAGCAGACGCCCACGAGGATGAAGGCGAAGTTGGCCACGCGGTAGAGGCCCTGGCTCTCGTACACGGCGTGCTGGCTGCTGACCAGGTCCCCGAAGCCGATGGTGCTGAAGGCCACGAAGCAGAAGTACAGGGAGTCGAAGTAGCTCCAGCCCTCGATGCAGGTGTACATGGCCGAGGCGCAGCCGGAGACGAGCAGGGAGGCCAGGCACAGGATGAGCATCACGTAGTACACGGAGGGCTTCCAGCCCGCCCCGCCGCAGCCCTGGCTCTTGGGGCTCCCCCTCGGCGGGGCGCCCTCCCGCCGGAGCCGCTGCTGCTGGTGGCAGCACTTCATGACGTGGGCGATGACGGTGATGAGCCGCTCCAGGAAGAGGTTGAAGAACAGGATGGTGCTCGCGCAGCCGAGGAGGCCGTAGAAGATGAGGAAGATCTTTCCTCCGACGGTCGCGGGGGTCGTCATCCCGAACCCTGAGGGAGACAAGAGCCAGAGGAGAGAGGCGTGAGGGAGAGCGGGGCCGTGGGTGGGGTCGGGGCTCGGCGCTGATGGGGTCCGAGGACCCACAGAAACAGTTTCTTTTCTTTTCTTTTTTTAAAAAAATATATATTTTATTGATTTTTCACAGAGAGGAAGGGAGAGGGATAGAGAGCTAGAAACATCGATGAGAGAGAAACACCGACCAGCCTCCTCCTGCACATGCCACCCCCCACTCCCCCTCCCCCCACCACCATGGATATGCCCGCAACCAACACACATGCCCTTGACCGGAATCGAACCCGGGACCCCTGAGTTCGCAGACGGATGCTCTATCCACCGAGCCAAACCGGTTTCGGCCCACAGGAACAGTTTCATCAAAGCACCCAGGCCTCGTCCTCCTAGGAACATGAGGGCGAGTCCTCACTGCCTCTGAAGACGCTACGTGCTGTTCAGAGATGGAGCCACAGTGCAAATCGGAAAAAGGCACCTTGTCCTCCAGGCGGGTGGGGCCCGTGCAAATGGCCTGGTGATGGGCAGGTGGGCTGATCTCCGCCTCCCCTCCTCTCCCCTCTCTGCGGGACATCCTAGTACAGCACAACCCGACCAGCTGTCCTCGACCGATGTTGTTCAGAGAGATAAACAAAAGTTCCTACAAAGAAAGGGTTTATACAGATTCATCGAACTTCACGTATTCCATAAGCGTGTGGTGTGCCATTCCAGGAACGAGAGATGGAGCTGGGGAAAAGACAGACCCAGGCCCTGCCCTCAGGGAGCTCTCGTCCAGTGAGGTGATGGCTGTTGTGTGGTAGGCCTCGTGCTGGAGGGGGTTTAGGATCCCATGGGAGCTGCATAGAGGGGAGCCCAATTCAGAACTGGGGTTCTGGAAAGACAAAGCACGGGGACTTGAAAGCTAAAGAGGAGTTAGGTAGAAAAGGAGGGTGTGCGTGTGTGTGTGTGTACGTGTTGTGTGTGTACGTGTTGTGTGTGTATGAATGAGTGATGATGAGGGTGATGATGGTGGGGATGGGGCTGTCCAGGCAGAGACACAGCAGATACCAGCATATATTGATTTGAGAAATTCGCCCAATATTTTCTCAATTTTTAAACACAAATTCTTCCCATGCACACCTCATGCTTTGGAAGTGAACACCGAGGTGTTGGTTGACAAAATATAAAATGGCTCTCTGCCTTTTGTCTTTTCCTGTTCTCGATTTCCACCTTCTTGACCTTTCTACCCAGGCACACAGACATGTTACTAAGAATTCAGCAGTAGGCCGAAACCGGTTTGGCTCAGCGGTAGAGCGTCAGTCTGCGGACTGAAAGGTCCCAGGTTCGATTCCCATCAGGGGCATGTACGCTGGTTGCAGGCACATCCCCGGTAGGGGGTGTGCAAGAGGCAGCTGGTCGATGATTCTCATCTACGTTTCTAGCTCTCTATCTCTCTCCCTTCCTCTCTGTAAAAAATTAATAAAATATATTTAAAAAAGAATTCAGCTGTAGGACACTGGATGTCACTAAGAAGAATGAGAAACAGAAGAGAGAGCAGTGATAACACTTGCTGAGAATCAGAAGAGAGTTCTCTCATGTAGCACGAGATTCAAGTGGGCACGCTTCCTTTTCCGAAATCTTCCCGTCCAATCCCAAAGGTGACAATTATGTTTCATGTGGAAAGAGAGCAGGGCAGCCAGAGGTGTTATGAGGAGCTCTCAGCCACCGGTAATAGTAATCATGTATTATTATTACTTTATTAGTAGGCTTTTATTCATTTCAGAGAGAGGAAGGGAGAGGGAGGGAGAGAGATAGGAACATCAATGATGTGAGAGAATCATTGGTCAGCTGCCTCCTGCGTGCCCCACACTGGGGATCGAGCCCGTAACCTGGGCATGTGCCCTGACGGGAAAGTTAACCATGACCTCCTGGTTCAGGGGTCTATGCTCAATCACTGGCTGGGCAGCAGTAATTTATTGAGCATCTGCTAAGTTCAAGAGTCTGGTAGGGGTCTGGGTCACACAAAGATGACCTGTCCAAGGTCCTGGACCTCCAGGAGCGCAGCTTCTCGGCCGAGACAGATAAACTGCCGTCTACAGAACTAGGCACAGAGTGTAGGGCCAGTATGAAGGCGTGAGGGGGCTTCCCTGGCATCGGTGTCCTGAACGCAGCCTCGCTCTGGACAAGTGACCTGTGCACACACAGGTGTGTTGCTCAAGCCCATGCACAAGCTTGACAAACCGATCTTCCCGTGAATGAGACGTTCAAGGATTTTGCGATGTCTTCTGGGGATTTAAAATGTCTAGACCTGACCTTGTTTATTTGGTTTTAAAGAATTCAATTTTTTTTTTAAGAAAGGGTAATCCATGACGTTTGATCACCTACTGTATTTGATTGATCACTGCCGTTGTTTCAATCAGCAGAAATAACAGAAAATGGCCCTAACCGGTGTGGCTCAGTGGATAGAGCATCGGCCTGTGGACTGAAGGGTCTCAGGTTTGATTCCGGTCAAGGGCATGTACCTTGGTTGCAGGCACATCCCCAGTGGGAGGTGTGCAGGAGGCAGCTGATTGATGTTTCTCTCTCATCAATGTTTCTAACTCTCTATCCCTCTCCCGTCTCTCTGTAAAAAAAAAATCAATAAAATATATATTTTTTGAAAAATAACAGAAAATGGGGGTGTTCCCAGCAGCAATGGCAGACAGCCTCCTCGGTGTGCACGTGGAGGTGTTTCCATAGCTGTTACCCCCTCGGGGCTTAGACGTGTGTAAGCTGACAATGCAGGCTCTCCCACAATAAGCCACCCCTTTCTTGAGATCAGAATGCTGAGCACGGAGGATGCCTTGGACTGAGAATAACCAGCCTCAGGGTCCTCCTTGGCGGAAGGAGAGCACACAAGGATGGCCAAGGCCTGTGCTCTGCCAGGTGCCATGGACCTTCCCCCCCACGCTGGGGAGCTGGGTGTTAGTGTCCAGTCTATTGGCCTCGTGGGACAAAAGAGAAAAGGAGGAATACAGTCACTTTGCCTAAAGGTGGGAAGCCAGAATCAGGACCTCGATGTGTCTCGTTTCCCAGGCCTGTGCTCTCCCCATCTGACTCTGCTGAGTGAGTGCAGGCGACGGTCAGGAGTACACGCGAGGAGCGGAGCTGAGGGAGGGAAATGGACCCAGCACCTGTAGTTCCATGCTCCACACGGACACCCTCGCTGCAGCGGCTGCCAAACCTGGCACCAAAGTCAGGAGCCTGGCTGCCGTCAGAAGCGAAAACCCTATAGTCGTTACTAAAACACACAGTTCAGCGTGTAGGCGTGCCTCTTCCGACAGGTGATGTAGACACGCCAGTTTAAACACCTGTTATGCTCCGTGCATTTCGGTCTCCCTGTGTTTCACAGGCACAGAAATGAACGGATTGTCACAGGAGCTGCTTCTGAATGCTCAGTTTATTCCCCGTGCTTCCAGCCGGAGGCATCTATGTGTGTCCAACCCCGGAGTTTGGGAGGAGATGAGCCAGCCGACTGGGGACCAAAGGTGCACAAGTCTGGTTTGGAGGCCGCGGAAGCTCACCTGGCAGTCCACAGCAGTCTAGCTCCCCGGAACCATTTCCGGCCTGTTTTATGTGACCATGACCCCCAGGGAACTCCCTGGGGTCCTTGCAGACAGGAATGAAGCAACCAAGGACTGCCACGTTGAAAACGTAGGGGTGACAGAGACCTCTTTACATCGTGTGCATGAGTACAAGCCACCGTCACGTTTATCCTACTCAGAAATCAGCCTCCAGGGAATCAGAGTACTCCAGCTTCCGAAGAGGAAATGTTACAAACGGCATCATTTCCCTGAGAAACAGAGTCGCGGGGGCATTGATGTTCTTCTCTCTCTTCCCCCCTTTCAGTTTCCTCTCTGAAATCCATAAAGAACATACTAAAAAAAGGAAAAAAGGAATGAAGCATGACCTGGGTAAGTTAAGGGACAGATCATTTAGGACGTAAGGAATAAATGTTATTTATAATATCATCATCCGGGTCCTTCCCCAGTCTGCACCTCTTCTCTACTAACTCGTGACATTTCCTGTATATAACGTCCCCCCAAAGTGCGTATGCTGGGAGCCGACCCCTCAACGCGATGCGTGCGGAGGCGGCCTTCCGGAGGTAAGCAGGGTTCGCTGAGGTCATGACGGGGGAGCCCTCGTGATGCGATTAGTGCCCTTGGAGTCAGCAGGGTGGCCTTTCTGCCCCTCTCTGCCACGTGCGGATACGCCAGACGCTGGCAGGCTGCCCCCAGAACAGGGCTCGCACCCAGAAGCCAACTGTGTGGGCCTCGGACCTGGCCCTTGCGGAATGTGAGAAACACACTTCCACTGGTCATTAGTCACCCAGCCGGTGGAACTGGCTGCTGCGGCCTGAGCTAAGACAGTATGTTGCCATGGCATCGAGACGAACTCTACGTTACCTAGAGCTTCCTAGAGATAGTCGGTACACAGTCTCCTGTTTGCTATGGAAATCAGCTCTAGGAAACCAAAGCTTCCTGTGGAAAATCCAATTTTCCTCTCCCCTCCTCCCTTCCAGTCCCCTCCCTCCTTCCCTCTCTTCCTTGCTTCCTTCCATTTCTTTAAAAGGCTCGTTAGAGACCTACCACTCAAACCTTGTTCTTTTTTATTTCTTTAATTTTAAATATATATATTACTGCAGGGAGAGAGAGATATCAATGATGAGAGAGAATCATTCATCAACTGCTGCATGCCCCCACACAGGGGATTGAGCCCATAACCCGGGCACGTGCCTCCACCAGGAATCGAACTGGGACCTCCGGGTTCGTAGGTTGACGCAATCCCTGAGCCGTGCCGGCTAGGCAGACGTTGTTCTCTTTTGAGGCTCCTTCTGGGCTGTGTCTGAAGGAACCACTGTTCTGCATAAACTACTCTTCGAGGGGGCTCTATTGGGCCCTCTCCTTAAAGACATTTAGTTTTGACATTGTGAGTTCCAGGAAGCAGTCATATATATATGACATAT